AACTCCATTAAGAACCACTGAGCTCATTGGTTGACCATTACTTGTAATGGCATAAAGCTAGAAGTGTCAAAAATGTCCCTTAATAGGAAACTAGAGGAATAACTACAGAAGCTATGGTCCATTCACACGACAAAGTAGTAAGCAACTATAAAGAGGAAAAACCATGATCTCCACATCTGCTGGGGTTGGGAGGAATCTCCTGGATATATTTTTAAATGGAAAAGAGCAATATATGGAATAACATATATAATATGTTACTCTTATATGAGAAAGGGATGGACATAAATTATATATATTCTTATAGACATAACTTACATTTTCAAAGAGAAACAAGGGAAGGACAAGTCAAAAGGAGACCTTAATAAGAGGAGACTGCTAGAAGGTAACTGGAAGACTCAGCATAGGGAAAATGTTAATTCTTCCCAAATTGGCATATGTTTAATTTGATCTCTGTCAAAACACCAGCAACATTCTTTATGTAGGCAAAGTGGTTGTAAATTTTATGGGAAAAGGCAAAACAATTTTTGGAAACAAAAGTAAGTTGGAAGAATTGCATGGTCTGATTTTAAGACATATTATGTAGCTACAGTAATCAAGATAGTGTGATATTGGTACAGATCAATGGAACAAAACAGAGTCCAGAAATAGATCCATGCAAGTATGTGAACCAGTTCTGATAAAGATGCAAAAGCAATCAAGAGAGGAAGAATGGTCTTTCTACCAATGGTACAGGAACAGTTTGACACTCGTTGGGATGGTGGTGACAATGATGATGATGAAGAAGAAGGAGGAGGAGGAGGTTGTGGAGGAAGAGGAAGAGGAGACCTTGATCTAAGTCTTATACATAACACAAGTATTAACTCAAAATTAATCATTGATCTAAATTTAAAACATAGAACTATAAAATCCTTACAAAAAATAATACAGAAGAAAATCTTTTAGACCTAGGATTAGACAGTTTTTAGACATGACACCAAAAAATACAATTCAGAGGGGGAAAATCATTGATGCACAGGATTGATCAAAATTTAAAACTTTTGCTCAATGAAAGATCCTATTAAGAGAACAGAGTGAGAGAAAATATTTGTAAAGTGCTTGTTGGCAGAATGAATAAAGAACTCTCCAAACTTAACACCAAGAAAACAAACAAACCTAATTGCCAAGTGGACTGAAGACTTGACCAAACACTTTAACAAAGAAAATGCAGAGTTTGAAATAAGCACGTGAAAAGAACTTCAACATCACCAGCCACTAAATTTGATTAAATACAGTACACACCTGTTAGAGAGGCTAACATAAAAAATACCAGTGCCAGTGAGGATGGACAGTAACCAGAGGGCTCACACACTGCTGTTGATGATGCAAATAGCACAGCCACTCTGGAAAACCCTTTGGCAAATAATTAAAAAGTAAAATATACCCTTACCATATGATTCAGCAATCTCACTCCTAGGTATTTATCCTACAAAAAAATAAAACCCCTTTTGACACAAAACCTGTCACAAATATTCATAGCAGCTTTATTTACAATAACCAAAACCTGAACACCAGGTTTAATGTCCCTCAGACACCAGAATAAATGTCCTTCATTGAATAAAAATGGGAAAACAAACCATGGTACATCTGTAGGATGGAATACTTCTCAGGACAAGAAGGAAGCAGGCTGGAGGGGTGGCTTAAATGACAGATCACCTGCCTAGCAAATGTGAAACCCCAAGTTCAAACCCCAGTTCCATCAAAAAGAAAAAGAAAAAGAAAAACCATTGATGCTGCAGGGGAGGCAAAACTTTGCTTCTGCCCAGCTTCAGTTCTCCTCTGGGGCTCTTTAACAAAAAGATAGACTTACAAAAGAAAAACAGTTATTAACCCACACAAAAGTAATTCTGGCTTAGAACCCTGGCTTATACAGCATCTTCAACAAAGAACAATGAAAGCCCCAATACCATCAAAACAAAGAGGAAAAAAAAAAGTAGAGAAATGAAAGAACAAAGGAAAGCAGTTTTAGGCTCCCAAAAACAGAGGATTGAGGAAGGGAAGGTAAAACTACAAGAGGAAGCTCTTGAGCACACTTGAGTGCATACCTCCTCCATGAGGCCTATGGGCTAAGAAGAGTCTAGCCTCATCTATAGGAAAGGAGAATTTCTGTCCTGCTTTCAGGCTGAATGGGCAAGGGAGGAGAAAAAATGATCTTCCTATGATTGCTGCTTCCTAATTGCCATCAGCTTAAAATAATTATGTCAGGAACATGTTTGCAGGGTGACATATTCTGTTTTTTTTCAACACACAAAACTATTTGGACCTCAAGGGAATTATTAAGCGTGAAAAAAACAACCTTAGAAGGCTACATATTGTGTGATTCCATACATGTGGTATTTTGGCTATAAACTTATAGCCAGAAAAGGAACAAATTTGAGCATCAAGAATAGTAACAAACACAATAATAATAATAACATCAGTGATATTTGTAATAGATTGGAACCCTGGACCTCATAACCACCCCAAAAAAAACACTTTGCTCATCTTTGGCAATTGCTTGGGCACTCTTACTGTTCTGAAAACTGGTGAGTAACTGGAAAGAATCAAACACACCCAAAAGGAGAAACATAGAGAGGGGTCACTCAGCCCCAGATCAACACCTTAGGGAACCAGGTCATGGGCTGCATGAGGCAGCAGGGTTGGGGGTGAGTGGGGCTGAGCACTGGCCTTAGAAATGGAAACTTCCATTCCTCCTGCATGCTGTAGGGGAGAAGAAGATACTCCCTCCACCCTTCCCCCTGATATTTCAATAATCCAGTCTGTAAAATAAATAAGCTGTGAACACATTAACCGGAGAAAAGATAGTGAAATTCATTACATGCACATACAGAGTCTCACAAGATACATGTGGAGGAAGGGCTAGGTGACTGCAGCTTACACATTTCCTGCAATGAGAGAGAACTTGCCCTGGGGTGTGGGGGGGTGTTGGGGAGGGTGATGGCTCTGAAGGAGGGGAAGACAAAGGTTGTTTCCATATTTGGATGAAGTTTCAGGCAATAAAACTGTCTAGAGGAGGAACTGTCAGGAGAACAGGTGACAGACTATGGTGTTGACCTTCAGACCCTGTGACAGTTAATCTTCCCTGGTTGGTGAGGTGGAAATAAGGCCTTTTGGAGGCTCTATCTTCAGGCAGGTAGAGAACTTCAGAGAAAGCCCCTGAGGAGAAAGTTGTGAGGAGGAAGAGAGGCCAGAAGCAGGAGGGCATACCAAAGCACCAAACTTTGGGGTATCAGTTTCTGAGCTCCAGCAATGCCTTGTTTGGCCCTTGGCCTATTGAGTTATTAATGTGAGAACTGATCAGGCCACCACAAAAAAACTGATTGTGTCATTTACATACCACAAAAGTACCACGTAACAAAAAAACTGTCAGTCCTAAGACACTCCCACAGGGAGCAGTCATTCCTTTTGCTCACTGTGCCTGGTTGGCTGGGCAGTTCGGTTTAATCTAGGCTTGTAGGACTCTTCCAAACATTTGTGTTCCACCAAGGGCCAGCTCAGTGGCCCTGCAGCTGTGGTTCCATGTGTGGCACCTCAATGGGGACAACTGTGCAGGCTCAGCTTTGTTCTGTGTGTCTTGCCCTCCAGCACGGCAGCCAGACACATCCCGTGCTGGTGCAGAGTTCCCATAGCACAGAGCAAGCGAGGCCTGTTGGCAAAGGAAGTCGAAAGTTCTGTTTCAAAGGGTTGGGGAAATGAACTCCAGCCTCTGCAGCAGGGGGAGTGGGTATAATATAGGGGGACAGATAGAAAGGGAGTAATAAAACACAAAGGAGCCAAAAGCAGGGGCAGCACCATAACCAGGTACATTTTGGCAAACATGCTGTTCCACTATTTTCCTGAATCCACAGGTGGCTGGCGAGGGTCGAAGCTGCTTCTTCATATAGCAGCCAGTAGTCCCCAATAGGGACTTTCCCAACTGTAGAGGTTAGCCAGAGGCCTCATCTACATCTCATTATACCTGAGGTTTCATGAGGCCTCCCTCAAATCATCACCTTAGCTCTGAGGGCAACTTTGTAGGTAAATCACTCCCCGCTCTCCATTTCTTGGTAATGCCTTCCCTCTTCTTTGGGAAACTCCACAACTATGTACATACCCTTAGCATAATCATTAAACCCTATCCATAAAAGTGTCTAAGACTGGAGCCCTTGACTGCTTGGTCAAGCTGCCTGCCTTGGTTTCCTTTGAAGGTGGACTACTACTTTGTGATGACTTCTTCTTTAATAAAATCTAGTTTTTGCTTAAATATATCTGTCAAAGACTTCATTGTATGTCTACCCCTGAATTCTTTCTTTGGTGAGACCAAGACTTGGAGACCTGGGGTGATTTTGCAGTCAATCTGCCACACTATTCTATCCCAAGTTAGTTGAGTGCTGGTTCACGCTTGTCCCCAGTCCATCTTGAGCCCATGGGTCCCATGCAGTCTCCCTGACTTTGCACAGGGGCCTCAGAAGCTATTTGAGTGAGAACCTGATCCCAGAAACTGATGTACAAATTCTCCATGTACCTGCACCACTCGAGTACCACACACACACACACACACACACACACACACACACACGCACCCTAACCTATGTGCACACACATGCATACTCACACACTCACACACCCTGTGCCTCCTGCCATTAGAAAGCCATGGGCCTCCCAGCCCCCTTATCTAAGAGCAGACAGGCCCAAGGCAAGAAATACGGACAGCCTTCCCAGAATGGGAAGAAATACGGACAGAAGGTAAGGGGAGAATGAAGGCCAACATAGGTTCCCACTCCAGCTCTGACACCAACAGCGGGACCTTAAGCAGGCTACTTGCCTCTATGGGTCTCAGTATCCCCTTCTGTAGACTGAAGGAAGGGAGGTCTCGGGGCCTTTCGGGCTGGGAGGCCAATGACCCCACATTGGTGTTCTCAGCCAACCTCCACTAGGGAGATGGGTGGAGGCCTTAAAGCCAGGAAGGACTGAGAACTTCCCAGAGGCGCAGCTCACAAGCAGAGTGATTTCCAAGCCCCACGCGAATAGCAAGGCTTTCACACGAAAATGTGTGAATGCAAAAGCACAGAGGCAGCGGGGAGACAGCAGCCAGCACAGCAGCAGCAGCAGCCCGGTAAGTACCCCCTGCCCTTGTAGGAAGGCGGCCCACGCTGCCCAGCCCCTGGGGCACAGTGGGGGACTTAGGGCAGGTATGCATGGGGTCGCTGGGGAGGGAGAAAGAGATCACTGGGAAGAGAAGTTTGGGCCCCATGGATCTCCTCCCAACCTGGCACTAAGAGGGGGCAGGAGGCTCCCAGGGCCCCCGTGGGCAGGAACCTCCAGCTCAGGGCCATGGCCCCCTGCTGTGTGGCAGGTGGGGGTAAAGGATGGATATCTGTCTTCTCTCCTCAAAGCCACTGGCTGAGATGACTCAGAGACCCACAGGCCCTAACCATCCTCTTATGGAAATGGAGTCTCACCCTGAAACCCCACCCAGCCCCAGGCTGGCCAGAGGGGTGATTCCAGCCCATTGCAGGCACCCTGCCCTGTCCCTTCCTCCTAATGAGAAGAAAAAGGATGTAGCAAGTCTTCTCGGCTAGAAAGAGGCGTCAGGCAAATACTGTCTCACCCTCATTTATAGATGGGGTAACAAGACCCCGGGGAAAAAAGGGACTGTCCCTGCTGCTCTGCCTTTAGGGGGTGAGCAGCAGAATCGAGTGGAGCAGAGTCTGCCAAAGGCCAGACAGTGAGCATGGGGTGATCCAGCCTAGAGGGTATAGGACAAGTGTCTGCATCTGTTGACATCCTTTCTGGGCCTGCGGGACAGGCCTGGGCTGTCCCCAGTGGGCTGAAAGGCAGTGGAGGAACCTGGAAAGGCCTCCTAGCAGCCTGATGCTACAGGGTCAAATTTAAACAGAAGGAGCAAGTTACTGCCCCACCCACCAAATGGCAGGCCAGGCAGCACAGCTGCAGGTGGAGTCAGAAGATCCTTGGAAAGCCTGGAGTGCCTCCATCACAGCCACTCATTTAACAAATGGGGAAACTAAGGCCCAGAGAGGTTAAGCAACTTGCCCAAAGTCATTCAGCTGATTAAACTCACAAAGTGACAGTATAGATTCTTACCAGGATGACCCTGGGGCCTAACCAACTAAGCAAATCTGTCCACTCCCCAGTTGTGCAGCCCCCATCCACCAGATCTGCTCACACATTTCTTCCACGTCCCCCTCCTTAGAGTCTCTCTCTCCTCCAGCTGTAACACTTCCCCAGCCAGCAGCTCCAGCCTGGAAATGAACAAAGCTGCTTCTAGCCTCTTTTGAATAAAGATGGCACACAAGAGATGCTCCTGAGGCCGAGTACTGTTGGCCCTGGGGGAAGCAGCTGGGCTGGGACTCTGGGGCAGCCTTTTACTGAGGACCTGAGCCCAGCTTCCTCATCTGCAAAATGGGCACAATGATGGTCCCTGCCTCAAGAGGTTGTTAACAGCAGGAGCTGACTGGTATGAGGGTCTCCCACCTGCCAGGCACTATTTCTTTTAAAATTTGTAACAATCGTAGCAGGGAGAAACTGGGGCAGTCCTGTGACTTTTCTGGCTGCCCTCTGGCATGACAAACAGCTGCGACTTAGTAATGAGAGTATCCCATCTTAGTGACAGCATATCTCGGTCTGGAGTTGGCCCTCAACCCAGAAACAGGCAGGTAAGAAGGGCATTTGCTGCACTCCCCTCCCTTTTTCCATGGCTTCCCCTCTGCTTTGTGACCTGGCATCACCCTCCTTACAGCCCTCTCTGCAAGGGTGTTTCATGAGCTGTATGAAGATACCCCCATTATTGAGGGTCTCACTCCTGTGAACATCCCCCACAAAAAAAAAGACTCCTCAATCAGCTCAGAAATTGGTAAGTCCAATATGCAGGGCCTACATACAAATTTCTCCCTGCTGGCCTCTTAAAGCAGCCTCTCTGCCAGGCCTTAAGGCAAACAAAGCTGGAGCGAACAAGGAGCTCTCACTCCCAACTCTGTGGCTCAAAGAAGATGCAAAGGTCACCCAGCAGGTTCTTGGCAGCCTGCTTTTTGCAAGTCCTTCTGGGCCACATGCATCTCTGCTGCAGGAAGCTGTTCCCCTGGTGAGGACCATGTACACACCTGGAGGCAGGGGGGCTATGGCTTTCCCTCTTTTCCACCTGTATGCCCCTGCCATGCAGGCATGAATGTTGGGGGCACGCTAGCTGGTTGGTTAGTAAGGAAAAGGGAATTCTCTTTCTGGGTGGCACAGAGCCAATCTCAGTTGAGGCAGCCTCTGGAATGCAGCAGGTGGGTCGGTTCCTGGCCTCAGGGAGGGGGTGGGGTGTGAGTCCGGATCTATGTGACACTTCCCCTGACTGTGGGCTGAGAGCCTATTTTTGTAGGTGTTTTTCTTCTCCTGAGGATCACAAGGTCTCTGCTGTGTCAAATTTCTCACCACCTGCCTGGGAGAGATGTTGTTAATTATCCCTCTGCTCCTCTGTGGTTGCTCAGGCCCCATGGGATCTGAGAGTCCTTCCCCACCCCCAATGTCCCCAGCATGCCCACTACCCACCAGGGGCCTCGGACACAGTTTTCAATTGTCCCTGGTAAAATGACAACCATAGGGTTGGGGGTGAGTTTTTCACTCAGCTAAGTCTGTTCCATTTAAAGATAAAAGGACTTTTATTCAGAAATTATGCCCTTCCTGCCTCACTGGTATTTCTAGATGAAGGTAAGAACATGGTGATTTTTTTCTTTTAATGAGCTGACTTAGGGAAGTGCAAAGTTGACAGGTTCATTCAGCCCTCCTTTGTCTTTAATTTGATGATCTGTGAGTACAAAGCATTTTAGAACTTACTCCAAGGAGTGAAGTACAGTGTGGGTCCCTTCACTCTGACAAAGCCAGGATTCAAACACAGAGGTATATGAATTCAGTAAAGTCAGTATCATTCCTTTTGGGAAGTGGGAGTCTGGGATCTACCCCGATTCTGTCACTGAGGTACTGTATGACCATAAGGGAGGCACTTGCCCTCTCTGAACCTCTGTTCCTCATCTCTAAAGCACAGCTAATAATCCATGCCTGCCTCTCCCTCAGAATGACATGAGGGCTGTAAATGAGCATATTCACACCTCAGGAACCCAAAGACCTACAGGCAGGTAGCTCCTCCTCAGCCCAGATGTTCCATCTTTCTGTCCTCTTGTCTCTGATACCCCACTTTCATGGACTCTCAGGCTAAGCAATCTTTAGTGATGTCCTCAGATCTTCCAAAATATGTCTGGCAGGAAAGGAAAAGGTTAGAAAAGGATAAAGACATGGATAAAGAGGGCTGGAAGTGTGGCTCAAGCAGTAGAGCTTCTGCCCAGCAAGTACAAAACCCTAAGTTCAAACCCCAATACCTCCAAAGAGAGATGGAAGAAGCAAGAGAAATAAAATGAAAGGCACATGGGGTCTAAAAAGGATAAGAAAAGCAAGTTCTGTTGTAGGGCCACATCCCCCATGAGGTCCACACTCCAGGACACTTTTCCCCTCCCTCCCCTGGCCTCTCTCCTAGCAGTGACCCCCTCTACTTTTCAAGACTCTGAGAGCAGGACACCTGCCTTATTTCATCTTTGCCTTCCCAGCCACTAAGTTTGGTGCCCTTAGTAAATGCTCATAATTTTTGCTGAACTAAACTGCAAATTTCCTGTGTTCCTATACTAGATGACCTAACAGTCAGGAGGATTCAGGTTACGCTGCTGTAACAAACATCTTAGTGGCGGAAAGCAACAAAGATTGATCTCTTCCTAGTGTTCCACACCCTCCTGAGGCTCTGCTCACTCAGGGACCCAGGCAGATAGAGCAGCCTCTGTCTGAAGCATTTCTGTGACAAAGCACTGTGACAAAGGGGATTCTGCAGTATCCTGCACTGGTCACTAAGTGGTCCACTCAGAATCTGTGAGTTTATTTCCACTTACATTAATTTAACCAAAATAAGTCATGTGGCCACACCAAACTTAAAGGCAGCCAGAATGTAACTGCTGGAACAACAAGCAAGTAATAGTGTGATGGTCCCTGGAGGCAGCAATGCGGACAAATGCAGACCTTGGACATGGGCTTGGACTTGAATCTTTACCCTGCCATGTGCCATCTGAATCACCTGAAGCATGTCCCGACACTGCTCTGAGCCTTGACCACCACAGCTCCAAGAGAAGCTGTTAGGACTGATTATGGATGATTATGGAGGAAAGCCTCAAAAAAGGTTTCGCACAAGGTGTTGGTGACCCAGTCCCACCACCGCAGTGAGGTGAGCTCCAGTCACCGTGACCTGATTCAGAAAGTGCTACAGGTGAATGAGGAGTTAGGGTCACTAGCAACACTGCTATGTAAGCAGCACAGCACTTCGCCAGTTTCCAAAGACGTTCTTATCTATTGTTGCGTTTGATCCTAACTGTAAACCTCTGAGGAAGATGAGCGGCCATGTTGCTAGCTTTCCATCACTGTAACAAATAACTGAGAGAATTAATTTATAAAGAAAACAGGTTTATTTTGGCTCATAGCTTTGGAGGATTGGTTTGCCCTGTTACTTTGAGCCTACAACACATCATGGCAGAGCAAAACCACTCACCTCATGGGGAGGAAGCAGAGGGGCCAGGATCCCACAATCCCTTTCAAAGGCATGTCTTCAATGGCCTAAAGATCTCCCACCAGGCTCCACCTTTTAGAGATTCCACTACCTCCTAATATTTCCACCTGGCAACCAAACCTTTCTTAATATATGTACCTTTGGAGGGCATTCAAACTACGGCAGTAGCTATCATTATTCTTGTTTTATAGAAAGGTTGAGTTACTCAATGCAATTTCCTATCTTGCCCAAAACCACAGCGGGGGGGGGGGGGGGGGGGGGTAAAAAAAAATGTAAACAGCATTTTAAGCATCAAGTAAATTTCACTGAGCATTCACTTACATCTGGCAGTGTTCTAAGTACAGGGTTGGTATACTAGAGCCCACCAATTGGATCTGGCCCACCACTTGTTCATGTCAATAAAACTTTATTGAAATATAGACTCACCTACTTGTGTATGTGTTACCCATACATTAATGAAACTGCACAGGTGAGGAAACTCTTGCCCCAGGTCCTCACAGTCAGTTACAGGAGCCAGGATTCAAATCCTGGCTTCTATCTCAGAGTCCTGTCCTAAGCTGCTGAACTCTTTGCCCATCAAGGCCAACAAGAAGGGTAACTATTTATAAAGCCTTTGTATCACAGGATAAACTTCTAAAAAATTTATCTCCTGACACATGGTTAAGGAGAGGTTTTCCCCTCTAGTGTTTTCCCAGGCCATGATTTTCCAGCAAAACAAGAAATTATGTGCATGCATTAATATAGATCGAGAAGGTCAATGTGGCCAAATGTTAACAACGGTAGATCGATGGCTGGGGTAGCTCAGTGCATAGCATGCACCCCACACCAAACACCCTTATCTTGTCAATGTTAATAACAATTGCTCTAGTGATAGAAAAGAAAGGGTCCCATGGCAGGAAATTCCCTAGGGGATTTATATAAACAAGTTCAACAGATGTGGACAGAGAGACAGGAAGTAAAGGGTGAGTCCCTGGTCTCCTGGGAAAGAAACTGACACTCTGGCTAAGCTGTACCCTGCACTAGCTGTGTGTTCTTAGGCAAGTCACTTACCTTCTCTGAAGAAATGAAGATGCTTAAATACATGCTCCTACAAAACGTTCCACTGGGCTGGGGATGTAGCTCAGTGGTAGAGCGCTTGCCTAAAACACAGCAGGTCCTAGGTTCCAATCCCCAGCACTGAGGGGGGTTGGGGGGAGGCTCCTTCCACATAATTTTGCACAGAGATTAAGATTGGGGAGTCAGGGTCAAGGAAACCCCAGTTCAAGTCACAAACCTTACCCTGAGTACAAGCCCTTGACCTCGAGCTACTTTATTTCTGTGAGTCTCTGCTTCCGCAGCTATGGTCGGGATTTGGGCGCCACCGCCCTGCTCCCCAAGGCTGCAGTAGGCTAGGACAGGTGAAGTTATTTATAAATTAATAAGCCTTATGCAAATGTGTAGCCACCATCGTTACCGTTATTATCTCCCGAGCCTTTGTTTCCCAGGCCCTCTGAGCACGATGTCCACACCTCCCGCCAGCAATGGGGTGTTTGTCGTCATCCCGCCCAGCAACACCAGCGGCCTCCGCCCGCCTGCGGCCATTCTGCCCACCTCCATGTGTCAGCCTCCCGGGATCGTGCAGTTCGAGGAGCCACCGCTGGGGGCGCAGGCGCCCAGGGCCACGCAACCTCCTGACCTGCGTCCCATGGACACATTTCTGACCGGAGAGCCCAAAGCTTTAGGGGTGAGAACAGTTTCCCCTGACTTTAGGCGTAGGTGCTAGGCAGGTAGTAAGTGCCCGACACCCGATCACTCTGCACATCTGGTAGAAGGGAGCAGGTGGTGGGCAAATATTTACTGAGGAGGCAGTCATGCACCAAATAAGCAAGGACCCTTCCCCACGGAGCTCACAGACAGCAACACGGTAAACACATGACTAACAGAACTTCAAAGAGGGTAATAAGGTTGGGAAGGATGGATGGAGAAAAAGCAACACCAACAAGAAAGGGCAGGAAGTTCTCTGGGGAGATAACTTCCAATGAGCTAAATCCTAGATATTAGATTGAAGCCAGCCCAGGGAAGAGCTGATGGAAGAAGAGTGAGGGGAAGGATTCAGCAGGTAGAGGGAGCAGCAGGTAGGAAAGTCCTGAGTTGGGAATGTGACTTGCTCCCGGAAGAGATATAAGGTGAACAGAGCTAGAATACAAGGGGCAAAGAAAGAAGATGATGATAGAATGGAGATGAAGGGGTAGGCAAGAGCCAGCTCCTGTAGGGCTGGCAATCCATGAAAAATGGCCTGAAAGCCTTTTTCTAATCTCAGATGGCTTTAAGAGATTGGTCTCTTGGAAAGCATAAAATATCAGACAGATACACAGATATATAGACATAGATACATGTGTATTGCTACAAAGAAAAACATGAAACAAATTCAATTGAGCAGGCTTTAAAAGATTTGTAAATGGGGCAGCCCACAGAACCAGAGGTTCACAGGGTTCCACCTAGCAGTGTAAGCAGCAAAATTTTAAAGGCCAAAGTAGAGAAATCACCTGAGTGGCTACAGATAGGTGTCTGCTTTGTTTGGACAAGACTGCCTAAGACTTTTGCCTTATTTGGGCATGGTCTGATCAGCTTGTGATTGGCTGAAGCTCACCTGTTTTGTTTGTGTTTAACCGAAACCTATCTGTTTAAAAAAATACTCCCAAATTACGTTCCCATTTGTTTATTTACTAAGTTTAAGTGAGTTAGCAATTTCTTACCAAGGAACTCAAAGTAGGAAACAGTCTATAAAGGCTAAATCACTAGCCCAAGGCCATAAATACAGGTGACATCCTGTAACCAAGGACAGCCTGACGTTATTAAAGTTCTACTTTCTACCCCACTACATCCAAGACCTCTGGCTCAAACTTCCTGGAACATAGGACTCTGCCCTAAAAGCTGCATCCAATTCACTGATGCACAAAGGGACTGGAGCCAGTGAACAAAATTCAGCATTGAATGTTAGAATTCTGAAACCTCAGAGCAGAGCAGGGAACCTATGACCCTCCCACAAAGGAATCTGACCAGACAAGTACAAATTGGTAGAACCATAACTGTCAAGGAGCACAGCCCAAGGAGACAAGCACTGCTTTAGGAATACCTGGCCTGCTGCTCTGTAACTGGCAAGCACTAAATATCCCTGAGCCTTGGTTTTCTGGTCTCCGAAATGAAGATAATTGTACTCACCTCCCCCCATTAGGAGTCAATGAAATCCTGTATGAAAACACCCAGCACAGCACTTAGCATAGACAGGCATTTGGTACATAGTGTTTGACAAGGAGTAATTCCAGTATTAGGGAAAGGACTTACAAGAAAGACAGCCAGACTGGCACGGGGACACTGCACAGAAGGAAGCTGAAAAGACCAAAGACAGGCACCTGATGAGACAGAGATAGAAGACATGGGTCATGCCCCAAAAATATCCCAAATCTTGGCACCCACATTAGACAGAGACATTAGACAGAGATATGAGCCCAAGAACAGGATCTAGTTGTTCACAGAGACTGTCCATGAGTGGACACTGCTCCTTTGAGTAATGGTGAGCCCTGGTCAGGGCAGTCCCACACAACAGACCTCCTGGGCTGGGCAGGGGCTGGACTCAAGGATCTTCCACACCTCTTTCCATTCAGCTCCGGAATTCATTCGTTACCAGAAACTCTTGGAAATCAATGTGGGAGAACTTACCAGAAGCCCTCTCTCCCTGAGGGGTTTTCCACTCTTGGGAAACCCTCCCACTTCTGCGGATGGATCCGTGGAGTGTTGGTAAAATCTACTCTCAAAAGTAAACTAAGGCCACAGTTTCAGCCAGATGGAGGCAGCTGCAGCCCGCCGCTGGAGTGGCTCAGGGAGAGACCTGTGAAATGAGAAAGGTGCTCAAGGAGCATCTGCAGGCTGCAGGGGACAGGAAGGGTGAGGTGAGGCATTCAGCACACAGAGGCTAAGAAAGCCAGGCAGCAACAAAAGGGATGAGAGAGACCCACAGATCAGATCACAAAGCCATTGCAGCCCACTGGGAACTGTGCCCTGTGGGTCCCGAAGGCTTCGGGGAGGCTATCTCTTCAAACTGTCTTATAGGATTGTTGATGCTGTCTCAAAAGAATGGAATCTGGGTTTATTTCCAGAAGCTGGGACGGGCAGGCAGGGGCAGGCCGCACTTTCCTCCGGGGCCGACAGGGGGCGATGTGGAGCCGGAGGCCCGCAGGCCGAGCGCTCGCTTCTTTCCGCAGACGGTGCAGATCCTCATAGGTCTCATCCACCTGGGCTTCGGCAGCGTGCTGCTTATGGTCCGCCGCGGCCACCTGGGGATGCTCTTTATAGAAGGCGGCGTCCCCTTCTGGGGAGGAGCCTGCGTGAGTACGGGGGTCATTGGGGAGGGGGCCTGCTCGGGTTCACCTCTTCCCCCTGTCCGACTCCCACTATTCTCCTGGGCTCAACCTATCTAGGTGAGGGCCCAAACCCTCATCATAAACCTTAGGTTGATCCAGTTGTTATGTATGGAAAGCTCCCGACGAGCAGCCAGAGAAGACTGCTGAAAAGGATGGGATGACTTGGATGGAAGCCACATCCAAACCTGGGCACCTGGATCCTCAGCTTCACCCCACACCCAAAACCCCACATGCAAAAACTCTTGCTGGGTCCCAGTCCTCCATGATCTCTCTTCTCTGGGGATCTGACCAGCTCTGAAGACCCTAAGCTCATTCCTCCGACCATCCCTGGCCACGGCAGCTGGAGCAGCAGGGGAGGCCATCAATGTGAAAGGACAAAAGTGCAAAGATGTTGGTACCTCTGTAATGTATTGCAGAGCCTCCCAGCCAGCCCCAGGAGGTCAGGCCAATGGGATCAAATCTTAGCTCAGGCCATGGGTTACCATGGAGGACCTCAGGCAAGTCACTGAAACTCCAGCCTCCACTCCCTCACCTAAGAATTGGGTTCATAGACCTACCCCATAGTTTGCTGAGGAAATCAGGAGAAAGTGCAGGTGAGAGCCAGTGACTAATCCTCAAATTTTGCACCTAATAATGACCTTCATCTGCAGTGATCTCCTTTTGGAGAGTGGCTCAGAGACAGGCATGAGGAGCCTTGAGAGTGAGTGATGATTCCAGAACCCAGATAGTGACTTTCTTCCCAAGCCCCATCTGCCTCCAGCAAAAGCTCAAAACCCTCAGAAGTAGGGTGCCTGGCACATCACAGTTAGAGCACCATGGTCACCTGGCCATGCCTGGTGACAAGCCTAAGCTCTCTCCAAGTTGGAAGAAAATACTGGTTTCCACTGGAAGAAACTTCTCTGTACTCCCTCTGCCAGGATCTATCGCAAAATATTCTTTGTTGTTTGTTTTTGATACTGGGTTTGAACCCTGAACCTTACACTTGCTAGACAGGTGCTCCACCACTTGAGCCCTTTTTGCTTTAAGATAGGGTCTTGAGTTTATGATGGGGCCAGCCTGGAGTGAGATCCTCCTATCTATGCTTCTCTTGTAGCTGGGATGACAGGTGCCTGCCACCACGCCCAGGTTTTATTGGTTTGAGATGGGGGGGGGGTCTCTTGAACTTTTTCCCCAGGCTGGCCTTGAACTGAGATCCTCCCAATCTCCACCTCCTGAGTAGCTAGGACTACAGGTATGAGTCACCTCACGTGGCTTCTGTAAAGATTTCAAACATGGTGGGAGGAGAAAAAAAAAAAAGAAGAACCTGCTTGCTAATCTTAGGAGACATCAGGGCCAGAAGACCTGAGCAGGACATTTGTAGCTCCAACATTTGATTGCTGCCTTGGATCTTTCATCACTGACCTCCAGAGGTCCCCTGAAAGTATGTGTGTCTTATGTATGGTATTTTAGAGGGGGTCTCATAGCTTTTCTCAGAGGCACAAAGAATTCTTTAGTTGAAAATTACCAAAATTCCAGGATGGCAAGCAGCTTGGTATAAAAGGAAGAAGACAGAACAGCTGGAATGTGGGTCTCCTTCTGTATAACCTTGGGCCAGTCACTGCCTCTCCAGGGATCAGCTTCCTTGTTGGTCTCCAGCCTTGAGTCTGGACTCTAAATCCAGCTGCCATCTTGACATCTCCTGGTGTTGAAGAGGCAACTCAACATATCAAAGCAAAGCTTACTTCCCACTCTGCTCCCAGCGCTCTTCTTCCCCCTTCTCCTCATCTCAGCCATCCAGTTGCTAAGGCTAAAAGCAAGCCAAGAGCCATCATGGACTCTTCTCTTCCCCACTCCCACATCAACCCACCAGCAGGTCCAACCTTAGGGCCTCCCCACCTCATCACCCCCACTGACCTCTCCATGTGACCTGTCCCTGTGATCGCTCCAGCATGATAGCTGAGTGCATGTATGCAAGCTTCCAGGCCTGCTAACTCATTAGGCCAGAACTGCACAGACCTCGGCCACTCCATAATCTCAGTGAAGCCAGTCTCAAGTTCAGCAACCGACTATGTGAGGCAACTGCCCAGTGTGTGGGCACCATGATGCAGGTCCATTGGGAGCCATCCTTAGAGCCAGCATCTGTACCGCACATGCCTGGCATCTTTCATTGTCCCCCCGCCCAGCTCAGAGAGAGGACTTCTCTGCCCTGTCCCCCAAACTCAAATAGCCCCCAGTAACTCCGTACCATATCATGACAGCTCTTGTCCCTACTCTCCCTTGATTTTCAACATTACTTATTTGCTAAGTGTCAGTGCTGACTAATTAGAATGTTAGCTTGGCCCTCTTACCTGGCAGTGTTGTGTTCTTGGCACATAATTGCTCCTCAGTAATGTTTGATGAGTGAATGTTTTGAATTACAGTGCCTTCTTCATGAGGCTCTGATGATGTAGTCAATGAAAACACTTACTTTGTAAGCTACTGGTCCAAGTTCCCAGAACAGGGGCCCCTAGAAACCCTTAGAGATCCCCTCAAGTACTCTTAGAGAAACCCCAAGGGACCTGGACAGGAGTCAAATAAGCTGGCAACCAGAATGTAGCTGTTGCACTCTCCCTGGTACTCATGACCTCCTAACAGAGCCCAGGCATGGTGTGTCCTGAACAGCCTCCCGGCTGAAACCTCATTGGGCCTCCTCTTCCCACACAGTTCATCATCTCTGGGTCCCTCTCAGTGGCAGCCGAGAAGAACCACACCAGCTGCTTGGTAAGTCCGAATGCAGATAAGGATACCAGGGGCAGGAATGTGATCTACTTGATCCAGCTCCCCACTCCCATCCATGCACTCCTTTGGCCCCTTCAACAAGCTCTTCCTGGGGTCTACTAAGTCCAGAGGAGGAGCATCCCCAGGCAGACCAGACATACAGGAGTCTGTGTATAGGAAAGAAACTTCCAGAACCTGTTTCCAAAATATAGTCCAGCGTAGAAAGTAAGGGTCCAGGGAGAAAGTGCTTATGGTCACTTTGAGGAAGGAAAGATGCATGAATGGCTCCCAGAAGAAGAGACACCAAGCTGCTTTGGTGGGTGTGTAGCATTAGTAATGCCTGGGCCTAGAGGGGGGAGGGACCCACAGTGAGAGGTAGGCCAGGGATCTGTGGCAAACCCAGTCGAGGAAGGCCATGAATGAGGTCTGGCTCTCTCCCTGCCACTCCCCAGAAGATGAGAAAAGGAAAGAGAGGCAGTGGGGCCTCCTCTTAACATTCCAAAGAAGAAGAGGGAAGAAGGGCAGTCAAGAAAAATAACATCCATACACGATCACATAGTGTGGTCACAGACACTTTGACCATAGCCACCTTGGCCATGGAAGAGGGGGTGTAGGAGGCTGGGCTCAGTGAGCTGTTGCATCGTGTCCTTTTTCCTTCTCTGCCTCTTCCTCTGCTCCTTCCCTCCTGTCTTTCTTCCTCCTGCAGGTGAGGAGCAGCCTGGGGACCAATATTCTCAGTGCCATGGTGGCCTTTGCCGGAACGGCTATTCTGCTCATGGATTTTGGTGTCACTAACTGGGTATGTTGTCAGATGCCCTGGGGTGATAAACTTGGAATGATAGAGCCATACCCAGGAGAGGGAGGAATGGGAGGGTTGGCAGTACTGGGTCATTAGCAGGGCCTGTGGGTCCCAATAGACCCCATGAGTATACTGACCCCATAACCCTACCCAAGGATGGGCATCATGTCATGGAGGTAGAGAGGTAGCCTGGTAGAGTGAAGGGGGCAGGGAACCACTGGACTGGCAGCAGGAAGGCTGGCTGCAGGTAGAACTCTGCTACCACTGCCTGGCTGTGTGTCCTTGGGCAAGTTATTCTTGCTTGGGAGAACCTTACTTTTGATACGGCTACAAGCTTATCCTTGACAAGTTGGCCTTGACTGTGGGTTTGGTCCCCAGGATGTGGGCGGGGGCTACCTCGCTGTCCTCACCATCTTCACTGTCCTGGAGTTCTTCATTTCAGTCATTGCCACCCACTTTGGATGCCAAGCTACCCGTGCCCAAGCTAATGCTGTGAGTACCCCCACCCCCCACCCACCCAATCTGAGCCTCTGAGGAAGCCTGTCAGCCTCCAGCCCCCTCCAGTATCCCTCTGGGAAGCAATATGGTGGGGCTGTGCTGCAGTGAGCTCCCACTGTCAGACACAGGGGACCTGAAGAGGTTTTCATAGATCGATGAAGATAGGAATTCACCTCAGGGCCACAGAGGGCACCACACAAGTGGACCTGCTATGCTGAGATCCTTGATATGGAGTGGGAGGCCTGGGTGGAAATTAATAGCAGAGGAACCCCTTAGAGCAAAGGCTACTGGAGGATGCTGTCTGGGGAGTGGGGTGAGGTAACTGAAGGTCTTGAAACAAGGGAATGAGCTGGGACCAGGGAGATCAACCCAGTACAGGGGCTGTAGGCCAGGAAGCAGCCTGGGGCTAGTGCTCTGGACCAGGCAAGAGATATAGAAGCCCCAAACCAGAGCAGGGCTGACCAGAGAGAAAAACGCAGCACTGTTTCTCCTAGACAAACGGAACTCTTGCCTGGCTGTTCTAGGATCATAGTTGGCCCCAGGTGATGTTTAGTTAAATGAATGACAGTTCTGAGTGTACAGTTCAGACTTGCAGAACTCATCATTAAGGCACCATTCTCAGAGTACCCACAAGGTTACAGAGCCCCAGAGCCCACCAGGACTTTCACAGAGTTCTTTTCCTTTGCAGTCTGTGATTTTCCTGCCAAATGCCTTCGGCACAGACTTCAGCATCCCCAGTCCGGCAGCCTCTCCACCTCCTGCCTATGACAATGTGGCATATATGCCCAAGGAGTCATCTGAGTAGAAGGTTGTAAGTCCCACATGTTGGGGTCCAGTCTTCCTCCTCTGGATCCAGCTTCTCCCCCAGCTTGTTCATCTGGGGGCAGCCATTCCCCAACTGTCCACTCTGAGTCACATGTCATGTGGCACTGAGTGAAGTGTTCCCAATGCCCCTCTCCCGTTTCCCCCAATGACTTCTTTCTTAAAAGACACTAAGCTGATGTGAAGCATATATGTCCTTCAGCCTCCTGAGCCCTGTCACCCTTCTAGTGCTGGCCCCTGGGACTGCTCTACATTGCTCTCTGCTCATTCAGGGAAATCATGACCTATTTGGAGACACAGGTTTGAGGCTTGGCCTAGCCTTCAGACCTTGGGAAGGTCATTAAGCTCAGAGAACCCAGAATGGAGTGAAAATGACCCCATGACTTCACAGAAGTGTGGACTGACTCAGGGCTCTTGACCCCAGGACCAGTTCTGTCTTTCTTATTTGCTGCCACATCTTTGACCTCAGTTTCCCCACTAAAGTATTGAACCACATAGTCATAAGGCCCTTCCAGAATTCCTGGGCTCATGATGTCCTGGGTCTAAGCCAGGCATTGCCCCTGATCCCTCTAGGAACCCTCCTTTTCCTTATCTGATATATAGAGTCAGTATTGACTCCAGCCCTGACCACCTCCCATGGGATAGGAAGTTGCAGAGAAGGCTGAAGCCAGCCTGTTCCTCCACCACCTGTCAACATCAACATGTGCACAGTGAAGATGACCGTCCTGCCCCAGGCAGCTGGGGACTCTCCTGTTTTTCACCACTCCCCTGTCCCATCCCCTGCCTGAGGAGCAAGGATACCCCTGAGGGTTACCATGGAAACTGGGATGGGCCTACAGGAGACACTTTCAGCCTGGCATTCACAGGCCCTGGCATATGGCTTGTTTCATCCATTCCATGGGGGAAAATAAACAGTTTACATTTTGAGCTGGTCTCATTGCAATGACTTTTACTTTCTAACCTTGGAGAGTTCTAGGTGTTAACCCAGGTTTATCAGAAGCGCTATGTAACTGTTTCACTATCACAGCCAGAGGACACCTATGCGTGCCAGGAATGTACTCAGTGTGACATAATCCTTACATTTATTCTGTTCCCACCTCAGTCCAAACAAGCCAGCATTCATATCCTCACTCTACAACTAAGGACACTGAAATCTATAGTGGTTAAAGTCTATGCCCCAGGCCACTGAGCTAGTCAAAAGCAATGCTAAAATTTGAACCCAGTTCTACCTGGCATCAGAGTTTGTGCTTTTCCCCCGTGGGCTCCTCATAGTACAAACCAAAGTGCTTCCCACCAACCTCCTTCCTTCCTTCCTTCGGTTTCTCCCACCCAAAGACTGAAACAGGGCTGTGTTCATCACCACACCCACTTCTTCATCTAACAATCTCCCACTCCTACTTCAAGACCCAATTCAAATGTTACCTCTTCTGTAAGTCTTCCCAAAGGAGGGGTCGTCATTGGACCATTGACTGGGACTAAGGTGAAATCAAGGTGCCTTTAAGAAGGCCTTCACTCCCAGAGTGATGCCAGGGCAGAGTTAAGGGGAGGTTTCACTTTAAAAACTCAAAATAGGAGCAAGGAGTGGTGGTGTACACCTGGGCTACAGAGCAAGTTTCAGGCCAGCTTGAGCTGCAGAGTGAGTTCCTGTCTCAAAAAAAAAAAAGTCAAGATGAGACTTAAGAATTTAGAGTTAAGGATTATATGATATAGAATTGGGAGAAATGTGCTTAAGGATTTAAGACCAATTTTCTAGACACACATAAAGGAGATCAGAGACATTTCAGAAATGAGGGAGGAGTTTGGAGACAAGGAGGGAGAGACAGAGGAAAAGGAAGAGGGTACTTAGCCCCAGGCGAGATTACTGCCTTCTACCCTCAACTCCCTCAAGAGGTATGTAGGCCAAAAACCATGGACCAGTTAGGAGAAATTAAAGAACAGGGATGCTTCCTTGCATGCTAGGTTGTAACCTGAGACAGATGCAAGGCCCCTAGAGATGTTCCTGTCTAGACAACATGGAGCCACAACATAGAGTAGAGGTGGCTGTGGACTATGCCTAGAGTCAGAGTCATGTAGCCCCATCTGGTACATAAACCAAGCATCAGAGAGCTTCCTGTGCTTCCTGAGAGAGCCGGTGGCCAGATGTGCAATGTGGATTGTATGGGGCTGTAGCTTTATAGCAAATAAGAGAGGGGGCACTTCTCGCTTAGAAACCAGTGAGGACAACCTACCTCAGCCAAAGCCAGGAACAACAAATAATAACTTATCTATTATCTGTCCACAGTTTGGAAGTCATGGAAAGTGACTGTATTGTCCTTAACTTGCAAGCTTAAGTTTTCTACCACTGAGAGGAAAAGGTAGCTACAGAGATAAGTTCCTGGAAGAAGAACCCTAAAGAAATTAACAAATATTTAATAAATGAAGGGATATACTATGTTCATGGATTGTGGGCTTGATTTTATTAAAATATCATTTATCTCCAAAATTTACCTAGAGATTCAATAGAATCTCATTCAGAATTCCAACAATTTGTTTTGGAGGGAAATTGGCATGCTAACTCTAACATTCATATAGAAATTCAAATTATCTAAAGGATCTAAGAAAATCTTAAAAATCTCAACAGATGATGAATTTCTAGCCAGACACTAAATTATTATTCCACTGATATGAATTTCAAGAACAGACAACCTAGAGCTGGTGGAATGGCTCAAGTGATAGAGCACCTGCCTAGCAAGCATGGAGCTCTGAGTTCAAACCCCAGTACTGCCAAAAAAAACATAAGAATAGGCAACCTAACCCAATGGCAATGGCTTAGGTTGCTCCATGGAGTGGAAATACTGACAAAGCATGACATGAGGAAGAATTTGATAGCCTGGGACATTTCTGTATCTTGAGCTGAGTGATGTTTACATGGGTGCATACATATATGCAAATTAACTAAACCCAACACACTTAATCGATTATTATTTGTTTTTAAAAAGTGGGGGGAAATGGAAACTATTACTATGTTAGTTGTCTATTTTTGCAAACACAAACTTAATGGCTCAAAGCCACACATATTCACTCTTTCATTATATCTTCTGAGTTAGGGTCTCTCAGAAGGGTCTCACAGAGAGGTCTCACAGGCTACAATCCAGGTGGCTACTGGGCCGCGCTCTCATCTGACAGCCCTAATGGTGGAGAATCCACTTCCAGACTCACTCGGGCTGATGCAGAATTCATTACCTTGAAGCCATGGGGCTGGGGCCTGGCTTCTTTTTAGATGGCAGGTGTCCATTTCCTCAGCCCCTCATCACATAACCTCTTAACTTCTTCAAAGCCAGCAAGGGAGAGATCGCTAGAGTGAACCTACTAGCAAAAAGCAGTCTTCTATAACAACACAACTATGGAAACAACATCCTCTACTCTGCAGTAAACTATCCAGTACAGGTGAGTCACAGGCCCACCCAAACTCAACAGGGTTAGTGGGGCCCCTAGAAATCTGTCCACCATGGTTACATCTCTGCTCACTTAAGTTTTGTGAATGTGAAAACTTGTCATATTTACATTGTTCCCAGCTTAGGAAGCCCTATTTTGGCCTCCTAAGTCTCCTGGCTGTGGTGTACAGTTCCCCTTTCCTTTAAGAGTCTCCACTTCCTCACCCTGCTTACCCCACTAAAATCTCTCTCTCCAAAGTTGTTGTCAGTGACCTTCTTATCAAAGCCAAGGGACTTTTAAACCTCATTTTAATAATGGTTCTCTTCTATGCTTATGGATCAGTAGAATCAACATTGTGAAAATGGCCATACTATCAAAAGCAATCTACATGTTCAATGCAATCCCTATCAAAATCCCAATGACATTCTGCACAGAAATAGAAAAATCAATCTTGAAATACATATGGAAACACAAAATCCTTGAATAGCCAAAGCAATTATAAGCAAAAAGTCCAATGCTGGAGGCATCACAATTCCTAACTTCAAACTATACTCCAGAGACATAACAATAAAAAGAGCATAGTATTTGCACAAAAACAGACAGGAAGACCAATGGATCCGAATAAAAACTCCAGACATAAACCCACACATCTATAGCCACTGATCTTCAACAAAAGAGCCCAAAACACACAATGGAGAAAAGACAGCCTCTTCAACAAATGCTGCTGGGAAAGTTGGATATCCACATGTAGAAGACTAAAACTAGATCTGTGTCCTTCACCCTGTACCAAAATCAACTCAAAGTGTATCAAAGACCTTGATATAAGGCATGAAACCCTGAAACAACTCCAAGAAGCAGTAGGAAATACACTGGAACAGATAGGTATAGGGAACGACTTCCTAAACAGAACTCAAAAGGCTCAGCATCTAAGAGAAATAATGAACAAATGGGACTGCATCAAACTAAAGAGCTTCTGCACAGCAAAGGAAACAGTCACAGAAAAAGAGACAGCCCACAAAATGGGAGAAAATTTTGCCAGCTACTTATCCAATAATGGACTAGTACCCAGAATCTATAGGGAACTCAAAAAACTCAGCCTCCAAAAAATCAACACCACAATGAAGAAATGGGCACATGAATTAAACAGGGAATTCTCAAAGAAAGAGGTATAAATAGCCAGTAAATACAGCAAGAAGTGTTCAACTCCCCTGGCTATAAAAGAGATGCAAATCAAAACAACGCTTAGATTTCATCTCACCCCAGTTAAAATGGCCATAATTGAGGGTAATAGCAACAAATGCTGGTGAGGATGTGGTGAAACAGGAAAACTTATACACTGCTGGTAGGAATGCAAGTTAGTACAACCACTTAGGAAAACAGTATGGAGATTCCTCAAAAAACTAGAGATAGAACTGCCATACGATCCAGTGATACCACCTCTGGGCATCTACCCAAAAGAATATAAGAAAGGATACAGTAGAGACACCTGTACACTGATGTTCATCACAGCACCATTCACAATAGCCAAGCTTTGGAAACAATCCAGATACCCTACAACTGACAAATGGA